TGAAATTGTTGATTGATTTGTACTACCATTGTTTGCTTAAAACCTTGAATTTTGATAGGATCCAATGTCCTTCTAATTCAATGGTCAACTTTAAATCCCCTATGAAATAATAAATTTCTAGAGGAATTTAAAGGGTGCTAATGTTGTGAAACCCTTATGTCTACACAATGCTGGATATCTTATGAAACAAACATAAAGGTAAAACTTATTAAAATTAATTATTATGTTCATAGGTAAGCCAACATTGCACCTCGAAAGAAAAACTCGGCTAACTAAATTCCCGCCACTTGAGCATACAACACACAATCGCATAGTTGTGCAATGGAAAATTCAAACGTAAATGAGTCAGTGGCCCTAAATGATCGGATGTCCGCAGTGGAGTCCAAAATGGCCGAAATAAGTAACATGATGAAACTGATAATAGAGGCTCTAAAAGGAAGTAGTAATGATAATCCAACACAGAATACCGTAGCAAATGAGAACGCAGCTAACAAAACAATTGAGCTAAACAGAGGATCAGATCCTAAGGTACCCACACCAAAGAAACAAGATTCTGGGATAGGGGCCTTTAACATATCGGATGGTCCTGGGGAAGATCATACCTACATGTTCCAAATCCCACAAGTGTTACATAAAAAGAAGGAGTTGAAAGAAGAACTTGGAGAGATGAAAGATCAATTGAAGGCTCTTCAAGGGTCGAACACGTGGGGTTCCTTAGACTTGAAAGAATTATGCTTGACCCCAGAAATTGATGTTCCCAAGAAATTCAAGATGCCAAATTTTGATAAATATGATGGTACAAGTAACCCAATTTATCATTTGAGGGCCTATTGCATAATGATGTCCATATGGTCACAAGATGAGAAGTTTCTGATAAACTTCTTTCTCGAAAGCTTGACTGGAGCCGCATTGACTTGGTACATACAACTAGACCAGACCAAGATTAAAAGATGGAAAGACCTTGTGGATGTTTTTATGAGACAATACAAGTTCAATCTTGATACTGCTCCAACCAAGGAATAATTGAAGGCGATAACCAAGAAATCATCAGAATCATTCAAAAAATATGCTCAAAGATGGAGAATAGTGGCTTCACAAGTGCAACCTCCAATGGTGAATTCCAAACTTTGCTCGTACTTCATCCGTGCATTGCTTAAGCCATTTTACCAACACATGATAGGAACACATGTCACTGATTTTGCTGATTTAATGATAATTGGAGAAAGGATTGACACAGACATATGAGAGGGAAAGATAGCCACTTCTCAAGCTGAAAGTAGTTCACGAAAGAACTATGATAAAAAAAAGAAAGAACGAAATGTGAACTATATTTAACCTGTAAGACAAGCAGCTACCAGTTCTCAAGTCCCTTATCAAATAGAGGGAAGGAATCAAAGACAGCAACAATTGGGTTCGGGCCTAACAAGCACAGGCAGGATGGAGAGAGGAGAAATATCCAATCTAGGGATAGTCGCCTATGGCCCAATTTTGGATTAACAAATGCTGAATTGTACCATAAACTTTTGGCAGCTCAATTATTAGGTCCACGATCTTATAAGCTTCATGGTCCGCCTTACCCAGTATGGTATAATCTAAATGCTGTTTGTGAATACCACATGAGTACACCTGGACACTCAATAGAAGACTATTTGACATTTAAAAGGAATATGCTAGACCTGGTTGATTTTGATCATATCCAGCTTAAAGAAGAGGGAAGCTCTATCATTGCTACTAATCCACTTCCAAATCATGAAAAACGAGTCAACGCTATTGAAGAAGAAGATGCGTGTATCAAAAGCTCTACAAGGATCAAGATATGTATGAAGGAGCTATATGCTCACTTAAAGGAGTATAGCTATATGCAAGAAATGCTCCTCATAGATAATATCAATGATCAAATGCCTGGATATTGTGAATATCATTAGGAGAAAATAGGCCATGACATAGAAAGTTGTGAACAGTTTAAAGAAGCTGTTAGAAAAATGATGGTATTAGGGATTGTGTCTGTAAAGAAGGGAGATACTAAAGTGTGCATGGTAGAGAAAAAGTGTATCGAGCTTGTCATTAATTCAAGCCCAAAAGAGCAAGTCCAGACAGTCTTTTTTGTGATCAACAAAGCCTCTGTAGATCTTGCACCTTACGTAAGACAACCAACATTAACCATAAGCACACCTCATCCCTTTCCCTATGAAAGTAATCGAGCAGTCTCGTGGAGATATCAAAGCATTGTGGAGAATCACAAAAACCCAACGTTGATTGTCAGGATAAGCAATGAAATAGCAAACCCAGGGGGTGTTACTCGAAGTGGAAAACCGTACTTACCATCTTACATTAGGAAAATGGTAAGAGAGAAAAATACAAATATTGACAGACCAAGGGAAGATAATCCTAAACAAATGGAAAAAATTAGAAGATGAGTTTTTGTCGATCATGAAGCAAAGTGATTACAGTGTTGTGGACTAATTGAAGAAAACTCCAGCGCGTATCTCCATACTTGCTTTAATTTTAAATTCCAAAGCGCATCGCTAAGCATTGCAAGAAGGTGGCAAGTGTAATGAATGTTGTAAAAGCCTCCTCTACCATTTCCTTTTTGGAAAAGGAAGTTATAGAAACTGCTGTCCACCAAACCAAAGCTTTGCATATCACTTTGAAATGTGAAGGGTTCATAATCGTAAGAGTATTAATTGATGGAAGATTAGCATTAAATGTCTTGCCACTCTCCACATTTGAATTATTATTACTAGAAGCTTCAAGTGTACACAAAAGCAATATTGTGGTAAAAGCATTCGATAGATCAAGACGGGAAGTATTAGGATCTATTTGTCTCTCCTTGGAGATAGGACCAAGCAGGTTTAAGGTGGATTTCCAACTCATGAACATAGACCCAAGCTACATAATGCTGCTAGGAAGGCTATGGATTTATTCTGCAAGAGCTGTTCCTTCTACCTTACACCAAAAGGTTAAGTTCATCAATAATGGGAGAATTATAACAGTTAAAGGAGAGGAGGAAATCATGGTAAGAAAACCAAGCTCACTCCCTTATATTGAGGCTACAGAGAAAGATCAAGGAGTTTCCTTTCAAAGCTTAGAGGTTGAGGGTGTTTGTGACAGTACTCATAACATCAATTCTATCATGGCTAAAATCATGATGAAGAGTGGGTTTATGCTAGGGAAAGGTTTAGGCTCTCATTTACAAGGAATTACGTATCCAATTAAGGTTTTGGATAATTGTAATCGCCAAGGGTTAGGAGATGAGCCTACCCTAGAAGACTAGATGAAAGACAAAGCAAGTTTAACGAAAGGTAAAAAGACCAGTAAATTAGAGATTCCACACATCAAAGAATCCTTCCCAGGTCCGTCCGAGGTGATATATGAACCAATTATCTCAGTGATCTCTTCTAACAAAGATGTAGCATATAGAACAAGTACCTCAATTGCAATCGATGATTCTAGCAAAGTTCTGGCGAATTAGGGGTTTAAAGAGGCCAATGATGTCATTAGCTTAGAGTAATTGTTTCAATTATGTTGTTCCTATTTTGTTATCCACTTTTGAGCCCAGGTTTAGGTAATAGATCTTAGGTATTCTCTAATGCAAATGAATTTCAGTGGCATTCATGTTTATCTCTTTATTCCACCCTATCTACTTCAATACATTTTTTCCCTATTTCATTTTTGTTCCTTATTTTTATCTCATTCCATATTCATCGTCCAGGGATTTTGTTCCTTCTAATTCCATCTCTCACCTAGAGGTTAATAAATCCTGTGAAGATAATTCACTAGTTGACACTGATATGCATGATTGTGAGTCTGATGATGAAGACGTAATCCAAACCTTTTCCAAGATGCTTGAATTGAGTGATAAGGGAATATGCCCACATGAAGAAGTGATTGAGATGGTTAATATGGGAACTGAGAAGGATCAAAGAATGCTCAAAATAGTAGATAATCCTGAAAGGGAACAAATGATTGAGTTGTTCAAAGAATGCATAGATGTGTTTGCATGGTCTTATAAAGATATGCCTGGGCTAGACCTAAGCATTGCTTCTCATAAAATACCATTACTTCTCAAGGTTGAGCCTAAGAAATAGAAGTTAAGGAGAATGAATATGGGGGTGTCCTTGCAAATAAAAGAAGAAGTAATAAAGCAGTTAGAAACAGGATTTTTGGAGGTAATAAGTTACCCATAATGGGTGGCAAATATTGTCCCTGTTCCTAAAAAAGATGGTCAGATTTGAATGTGCGTTGATTATCGTAATTTAAATAATGCAAGCCCAAAAGATGATTTTCCATTACCTCACATTGATGTATTAGTCGATAATACTGCTCGAAGCTATCGCTATTCCTTTATGGATGGTTATTTAGGGCATAATCAAATCCCTATGCATGGAAGAGATAAAGAGAAAACAACCTTTACAACCCAATAGGGAACTTATTGTTACCGAGTGATGCCTTTTGGTTTGAAAAATGCTGGGGCAACTTATCAATGAGCTATGGTAACACTATTCCATGACATGATGCATAAAGAAATTGAAGTATATGTAGATGATATGGTAGCTAAATCAGCAGAGAATGAGAGTCATGTTGGAGTCCTTAGAAAGCTATTTGTGAGATTGCACGAATATTGGCTAAGATTGAATCCTAATAAATGCATCTTTGGAGCTCTTTCTGGGAAGTTATTAGGATTCATTGTGAGTCGTAAAGGGATAGAAGTAGATCAAGATAAAGTGAGGGCAATTCAAGAAATGCCAGCTCCCCAAATAGAGAAAGAAGTTAGAAGTTTCTTGGGACGATTGAATTACATTGCTAGATTCATCGCCAATCTAACAGCTACTTGCGAACCAATGTTTAAGCTGTTAAAGAAAAATTGCAAGGAGACATGGGATGATGATTGTCAAAAGGCATTTGATAAAATTAAAGATTATTTGTTAAATCCCCCAATTTTAGTCCCTCTATTACTAGATCATCCACTAATCCTTTACTTGGCGACTTTACCTCGCTCAATGGGAGCAATGCTAGGTCAACACAATGATTCTGGAAAGAAGGAAAGAGCAATTTATTTCTTGAGCAAGAAGTTTAATGAGTGTGAAGCTCGTTATCCAATGATTGAGCGAACTTGTTGTGGACTAGTATGGGCAACTAGAAGGCTAAGGCAATACATGCTTTACTACACTACCTGGCTAATCTCGCGAGTAGACCCACTCAAGTACATCTTTGAGAGCCCGCACATTGCAGGTAGAGTACTAAAATGGCAAGTTGTACTATCTAAATATGATATAAAGCATGTGATGCAAAAGTCAGTCAAAGGTAGTGCGATAGCAGATCACTTGGCCAATAATCCTTTAAAGGATAACCAGCCATTAGATTTTCAATTTCCTAATGAAGGCATATACACTACAGAAAAAGTTTATGATGAAGGAAATGATGAAGAGCAAGAATGGGAAATGTATTTTGATAGAGCCGCCAACATGCATGGAAATGGGGTAGGAGTGGTAATCATTTCACTAGAAGGAAAACAATTTCCAATGGCCATCAAATTGAAATTTGATTGTACTAACAATATGGCAGAATATAAAGCTTGTGTTAATGATCTTCGACCAGCTATTACCCTTGGTATATGGTGTTTGAAGGTATTTGGTGATTCAACACTCATTATTCATCAAGTAACAAGAGAATGGAGAACAAAGGATGTAAAATTGATTCCTTATCAAGAACTCCTAACAGATTTGATTAAGCAATTTAAGATTGTTAGCTTTCATCACTTGACTCGAGATAAAAATTGTTTCGCTGATGCTTTAGCCACTTTAGTAGCAATGATCCAACTTGATTGTGGAGTCCATGTCCAACCTATTGAAGTAAAAGCTAGAAGCTTTCTAGCATACTGTTTGAATGTTGAAGAAGATCAAGAAGAATATCCTTGGTTTCGGGATATTAAGGACTATATCACTAAGAGGTCATACCCAACTGGAATGACTAAGAATGAAAAGAAAACCCTTCGTCATTTGGCTATGACATTCTTTATCAGTAAAGATGTTTTGTACAAGAGGGGTTATGATGGTACCTTACTTCGCTATGTGAGTTCAGAAGAAGCAAAGAAAATTATGGTTGAGGTACACGAGGGCATATGTGGCACGCATGCGAATGGTCACACTATGGCTAGATAAATTTAAAGGTGTGGCTACTTCTGGTTAACAATAGAGAAATATTGCTTTGAGCATGTCAAGAAATGCCACAAATGTCAGATCTATGCTAATAGGATAAATGCTCCTCCAATCCTATTACATAATTTGGTATCACCCTGGCCATTCTCAATGTGGAATTGATATTATTAGTCCAATTAACCCAAAAGCTTTGAATGGATATCACTTCATCCTTGTTGCAATTGACTATTTCACAAAATGGGTAGAAGCAAATTCATTTGCTAGCATCACGCAAAAGAAGTTCCTTAAATTCATGAAGACAAATATTTTATGCCGATATGGGATTCCTGAAAGGATCATTACTGATAATGGTCCCAACTTCAATAGAACAAAAGTTAGAAACTTTTGCGAGAAATTCCAAATCAAGCATCATAATTCAGTCCCATATAGACCCCAAATGAATGGGGCAGTTGAAGCAACCAATAAAAATATTAAAAAGATTATTAGAAAAATGACAGTAACTTATAAAGATTAGCATGAGATGCTTCCCTATGCTTTACATGGTTATCGTACTACCGTACGCACGTCCATAGGGGTAACCCCATATTCCCTTGTTTACGGAATAGAAGCTGTCACACCTATTGAGATGAAAATTCCATCCTTGAGAGTATTGGCTGAGACAGATTTAGAGGAAAATGAATGGGTACAAACCCAATTTGAGCAACTTAACACGATTGAAGAAAAAAGGCTTACTGCAATGTGTCATGGACAATTGTACCAAAAGAGAATGGCAAGAGCATTTGATAAAACACTTCGCCCACGAGAATTCAGTGCTGGTGATTTGGTACTTAAGAAAATATTCCCTCACCAAGAAGATAATAGAGGCAAATAGGCTCTGACCTATGAGGGACCTTATGTTGTCAAACATGCCTTTTTTGGAGGAGTACTGATCCTAGCTGACATGGACGGTCAAGAGTTAGCAAAGCCCATTAATGCGGATGCTGTCAAGCATTACTTTGCTTAAACGAAAAATGAAAAAAGAAAGAAGCGCTCACTGGGTTGAAAACTTGTAAAGGCAACCTAGGCAAAAGTTAGAAGCAATAGAAAATGAAAAGGAAAGAATAGCTCGTTAGGTTAAAAACCTATAAAGGCAATTTAAGCAAAAGTTAGAACAAAGAACAAGCAAAACAATCATAAGAAGAAGAAGAGTTCACCAAGACAAAAGGATGTCTTAGGAGAAGAAAGGAAGGCATAAGAAGTTAAGTATCTATGTTTGGGAAAGTTGACTTCATCGTCCCTCATACTATGCATATCAATGGTAGATCAGTGAAGCACTTGTTAGGGTTTTGAAAAGCCAAAGGAGAGATGTGATTAACTGGATCCCATTTGCGCTTAGGCCATTTGTACTCATAAACCAAGATATTCCCATTCCTCTATGAATTTTGGCATTAGAGAATGAATTTTCCACCCCTGCTCCTTTGAGACCATCTTTCTCCTCTTTTCGTGTTATCATATTCGAATTCATATCTCATATATTACAATAAGTTCACATTCAAGGAACAATATTTATTGATACATTTACTTGACGTAAAATGCTGGTATCTTTATTCTTACTTTTCACCCTTGAGGTATCAAGATCATCGCGTAGGTATAAAATGATAATAAGAGCCTGTGTGCTATCAGTATTCAGTCATAATAGTTGATCTCATTAACTTGAAGGCAAGACCAAGCGACGAGAATTTGGTCATTTAAATTTTCTAAAGAGGGACAACGGCATACTGTGATACTACATGTAACATCCCAAAAAAATTTTAAGACTTGAATTTATTTTAAAAAAATAAAATAATATATATATATATATAATTAAATTAAAATTTAGAATAATTTAATAGAGGTCTAGAGTTTGAATTTTTCTCAGCAAAAGTTTGGTTTTATTTGATTTTTAACTATGGAAAAAATTATCAAAGTTGACCCAAACTTTTAGATCAGCATTTTAAAGAGCAAATAGAACGCAGAAACAAAAAGAAAGAAAGGAAAGAAGGAAATGAACGCGTGAGAGAGAGAGAGGAAGAGGAAAGGAGAAAGAGAGGGAGTTAGACTCGGATCTAGGAGACTTTGTAGCCGTTGCGAGCTCGGCTACGCGATAGGTAAACTCCCTACTTCAATCTTCTTCCCTCCCTCTTTCTTTTTCTCAATTTTGGAAAAGGAAATTTCTGAAATTTGATCCAAAATGCTTTATTTTTGTAAGCTTTAGTTTCCTTGGGTTCTAGGGAGGATGTTTTGAGTTTCTATATGGTGTTCTAATGTTTTGAGTAGATAATTGGATGAAAAGAGGTGTTTTGGGCACAAATTAAACCCTGAGAGATTGAGTTTTTCTCCTCAATGATTTAAGCCTATTGATTTAGTTATAATTTTACTATTTAAGCCTAATAAGATTTAAATTAAGGTTTGGTTTTCATTATAAGGGTTAATAGTGAAAGTTGGTGACACTAAGTGAAAATTTTTAATTGATTAAAAATGATATAAATTGGAAATTAGCCTAGTGATGGCTAATAAATAGTTTTGATGGTTAAGTGATACTATGTGAATGGTTGGTTTAATATATGGACTATTAGGATAGACTATGGCTCATAGACCCAAGTTGTGTGGTATGGGTTATAGTCTTCATTAATGCTATTTGACATGATAAGTGATGTGGATCACTTATATGTTGTAAGAATTGTTGGTGGAATTTGTTTAGAAGTTAAGGAACAAGTCGAGCCCTATTTTGTACAAAAGGAACCCTTTTGATACCAAAAGGTTGAGGTAACAGGGGAATTTATATTTCTTATTACTTTGTTTTAGCTATTTTTGAATAAATATTACTAGTTATCATGCATTACATGTTTTAAAAGATTAAATGTGCTTTATAAGGGGTTATGGGGTACTACTTTGATTATAGTGCAAATATGTTTTCTAATTGTTTGACAACAATGTTTTTATGGAAACGAGATTTGTTTACATGTATTTTAATCATAAGGAATAGAAGTTGCACTTAAGGTAGTTTAACTAAACAAGGTACCTTAGATAGGCTAAGGAACCGTTTAAGGGAGATTTATAAATGTTATACTATCTTAGAGTGTTGAAGTGGTCAATACTCGGGAAAGGTAGACACGAATAAAAGGCATGATGTCGATGGGAGTTCACTAATGAGAGGTATGGACTTTTGATATTCCATGGCACACTGCCAATACTCAGTGTTGCCTTACGTATTATGGGCTTAGTACACTAAAGTGGTTAGTGCATTGAGTGTTCAACAGCTCTCAGTGGGGGAGAGAATCCAACATATGAAGTGTGAGGTTGAGTGCCTAGGCCAAGGTAGCCCTCACATGGAAAGTAAGTCGGGCTAGCTCTGAGAGGGAGTTAGCTTTGACTGCTCAGGATTCACGTTGAAGGGGCATAGGCAGTTCAGTAGATTAGATCATGCCTTAGATTATGTTTTGTACCTGTGAAGGTACAAGTAGGTATAAGGTTTACCTGCAGTTAAAGAGTGCCAGAGGGCATTCTATTGGTCATGAAAGTATACCGGCCTAGGTCATGCATTCATGCATTTTAAATGGCTAAATTATATACTATGTTGAATTTATTATTTGCTTATTTGATTATGGCTTTCTTTTGTAATAATCATTGTAGATTTCTCTGTTACTGAGACTATGGTTGTCTCACCCCTTTCTTTTCAATATTCTAGGTCCAAGCGAAGGAACCAGTGGAGGACGGGAAAAGGAGCAGAGCTAGGGGTTGTTTGTAAATTGTAAAGAACTACAACCCCTTTCTTTTGAGCAAATCTATTGCAATGTATTTAGGATTAGGGTGTCAGTAGGATATGATTATGTATATGTGGGTGAGTATGTGTGGATTGTATGGCTTGTGTATGAATTTTTGATTGCTTGTAGACTTATGGCTAGGAAACTTGGCTATGGTATGTGGTTTTGATGGATTTATTTAGTAGACCAAGTTTTCACTACAAGAAAATATTTATTTTGATATATATGTGATTCCACAAGCAAATGCAAAGTGGTTGCATTGCAAATGGTGTGTTATGGGCAAACATATACCTTGGATAGAGAGAGTAGGTGTGTGGGCCCCACAGAGATCTCTGAGCAAAGTGAAAATGTTTAGCGTGTGTATTCATATGTGTATATGATATTTGGAATAGTTTTTGACTACTCTTGTGTGATTTGTGCATTATGGGGGTTTAGGGTCTATTTGGGGAAATGGCACCCGAGTAGTCAAATTTTGGTATACAGGGTTTTTCTACCATTTAAATGTTATATCAGGTGTTTTTAGTCCTATTTGACGTATCCAAAGTGTTCCCACAAGTTTGTGACCATTAGATGAGATTTGGACAATTTTGAAAATGGTTTTTACCAAAAACCTGCACTTTTGCATCCGGGTGTTCGATTCTGAATCCGATCGTTGGATTTCTCTAAAATTTGGATCACAAGTAAAACTTTTATAAGCTTCGTGTGGGCTTTGAAATCATATCAATCGGATATCAGACAAAAAAATGGCGCACTCCGGAATTTGGTCCAGAGGAGCTGTCATGACAGCAATAATTGATAATGTTGCAACATGCACGAAATTTAATCCGTCTGTTGGATCTTTTCAAAATTTGGTATGCTAATAGTACTATTTAAAAGTAACATGTGGGATTTAGAATCGCTCCAATCGGAGGTCGAATGATGAAATGGTGCACCCCAAAAGTTAGTCTGGAGGTGCTGTCATGACACCGTATTTTGCCCGAACATTTTTTAATTTAATAATAAATAATAAAAAAATATAAAAATACAAAAATGAAATTTAACCCTTTTTAGGATTATATTATATTTTCAAAAAAAAAAAATCTTGTTTAAATCTTTTAAAATTATTTCAATCATTCAAAAATATTCAAGAATCAACTTTTGAGAGTTAATTTTCGTTATCTTTTTTTCTCTCTTTAATCTTGTTGTCTTTTCAAAAAAAAACAGAGAGAGAAATATTCTAGT